TGTCGATGTGTGGTGCTGGGCCCTTGTCGCCGTTCATTGTTAGTTGTGGTGGTTGTTGTCGGCAAATGTTGTGGTGGTTGTTGGGTGCAAGATGGAATGTCACAAAGTGTGACGTTTGTGTCCATGCTCAAACGACAAACACACACATTTGTAACTTGTAGTGTCTATCTAATCGAGTAAGGGTGAAGTTTTCGAAACCTTATATATATATGTAAATAGGCAAATGTAGTGTGCCCTTTTTTCTATTACAATAGTTTGTATTGCCTGTTGACTTTTGTAGTGTCCCCTACAAAAGTTGTAGCCTCATATTTGGCTTTGTTTAGAACCAATGCTATTGCCCAATCGTCATCCAAACCCATCCTCTTGCATCCATCCAATGCCTGCATGTTTGTAACGGAGAAATTGATGGGAGATATGCTTAAATATTATAGGGACCCTAATCTATTTTTACTTTGTGTTATATTGAGCAGAGGAAATTAGAAAAGCCGAAAATCTACCAGACATGCTCATTTGAGCATTTATTTACATATATTTACTAATCGCCTTCCAGTCAAAAAAATTTGTAGTGTCTATTACAAAAGTTTGTAGTGTCCGTTTTTCTACAGTTGCGGACAAACAAAGTCATCAAATTTGATAACTTGAGAACCAGAATTTTTATCAAAATTCTGACTTCAGATTCAGCTTCAGAGACCTCGAAACTGTTCAAAAAAGGTGTCGCCCTAATTTTCCCACGCGTTTTTGGTTTGGCCAAATTTTTGGGTGTTTTCAACGCACCCAAAAGTCTTCCAAATCGGCCATCTCTGGATCAATTCTGTGCCATTCATAACCCTGGTGTAGTAGCTGCGTGAAAAAATGAACCAGGGTCCAATTATGTCTTTTTCCGGGAGACCTTGGTATGTCCACGTGACAATTTCAACAAAATTCCCACCATCAAAGACATCAATATTTCCCGAAGATTTTACCGGAATCAAAGAGAGGAAGCAAAAAGGAGTCGATTGGCATATTTTTTGTATTTTTAGCTATTTTTTCAGGCACTGGCCAAATTTTTGGGGTATAAAACCCTTATATCGTCATTTCTGGGAATTCTGCTCGTTGGAATTGATCAGGGAGATCAATAGGAAGTCATTTATACCATTATCTAACAATTCCAATGCTTTCCGGAGTCCCAAAAAATAGGTTAA